GCAAAAATTAAATATATTAGACATATGTTTTAAGATAATTTTAAATATATTTTAGATATATTAAAAATATATTTTAAGTATTTTGCAATTTTTAAATTAAGTATATTTTAAATATATTTTAAATATATTTTAAGTATAATACTTTTTATAGGGTTCTTTTGCTAAGTCCTTTTGTTTTAAAAAAGGAGGGAATATTTTTTTTAAACAAACCTCCTTTTTTTGGGCTGATATGAGTGATTTACGCTTTCTAGGAGTTTTTTTTGGCATATTATTGATATCAAAAAGAAGAATAAATGAAAGTAATGATAAGTATAGTGTAAAAATCCATTTTTATATAAATAATTACCATATTTAACAAAATAGCAAGGGGTAAATTATCTTATATAGAAAATTACAAAAAATTTACCAGTATTACTAAAGAATGTTCAATTAAAAACCGCAAAAATTCTTCGTTATAATGGAAAAAAAATTTGTTATAAAAAAATCCGTTATACCAAATGGCATATTTATATAAGCAATTCACACACTTTACATCATACTACGTTATACAATAAATAAATACTAGACTTCGTTATACTAAGGTTTTTTTTATATTTAAAATTGGTACTACATTAGATGATCCGTTATATCATATTATTCGTTATATCGAGGTTCGTTGTAGAGAGAGTAGACTGTACTTGTATATTTTAAGGTAATTTTCTGTCTGGATGATCATTTTAAATAATATCATTAGAATTCTTTTTTTTTTTTTTTTTTTTTTTTTAATGATTTATGGATATCATTAGAATTCAATGTAATTAAATGGTCATTATATATAGTAAAATTTTTGAATGCAATATTTTTGTAATAATTTATTTTCTAATAAGTTTAAACAGGACCGTGCTTACTTATAAGATAGGTTACCCCAGGCCTAAGGTAAAAATCATATATAAAATTCTTTGCAGATCCTACTATAAAAGGAAATTTTATGTTACATTTTTATGATTTTTTTTCTTTTTATCTAATTAACCAATAGAATTTAAGAAAAAAGTAAGGTAAAAACTATTAGTAAAGGGCCAATTTTCTACAGTAACCTTTATTATAAGTAAGCAAGGTCCTGTTTAGGCTAACTGTAATATTCCTGAATAGATAGATATATTAGATAAGGTATGGAGTTCAATTTTCCACTAGAAAAGATACTGAATGGTAGCTTAAATGGTAAGATAGTACCACTGAAGGTAATTTCAAATAGGCGAGTCTATACTATCTCTTATTTTTTCTGTCTCAGTAGTTTTTTTATCTCAGTTGTTATTACTATACTATTGAGAAATTCATAACTATATCTTGGGATTAAGAAATCGTGAGCTGTAATGGTCTTAAAGAAGTCTTAATTCAATTCTAAAGTATAAATAGTTAGTATAAAAAAGTATCTAAATAATTGTCATTATATTTGATGAAAGTTTTCTACTAACTAAAATATAAGTCAGGGTAATATATAAATTCGAGTTAGTCTTACCTTAGTGTAGATAAAAAATAAATAAGGAGTTAATCAAGTAGTATTTCAATAATGAATAGAAACTATTCTATAGCAAGTTAGTAAACTATTACAATGATAATACTAGTGATATACAGAAATATATATATAGGGGTTAGGTAGTGAAAAATTTTTTTACTATGAACTATATGCAGAGACTTTTTATATGAATAGTACGCATAATTAATACCTGATATTAAAAATCCTGCAAAAATACGCAAATAAAATTTCAGACATTAAGTTATTAATTATTTTATTATGGCTTTTATATTATTTATAAAATCAAATACTAATGTGAAAAAATAGAATTTACCATTTTTTTAATAATATTTTTCTAAAATTTCACTTTTTAACTTTTAGAAATTTCTTTCAATTAATACTAAATATTACAATACGGTTAATTAAATAAATACATACAGTAAATACAGTCAAATCTTGATATAGCGAATCTTTAATATAGTGAATTTTTCAGACAACTATAATAAATTTCCCCTTGCTATAACGAATTAACCAATCAAATCTCTTAAAATCTTCACTATAGCCCTATAGTAAAGTTGAGATCTAGAACCTAGGGTTCGTTATAACAAGGATTGACTGTATATTATATATATAAGATTGGCCAAATTTAAGCTAAAAATACGCAAACTAATTTTTTACATATAAAAATTTTGATAAAAAATACGCAATCTTGATGATCTAACTATAGATGAAAAATTCTAAAATTGTATGCAAATCAAAATTTTACTCTGTCTAATTTCACTATGATGGTGACGCTATACTAGTCTTGTAAATATTTTGAATTACCTAGTTATACAAAATTAAATATTAATATATAGCCTATTCTCAATTGTTAAATAACAAAATGTTTTTTAAAAATTAAAATAATTTTCTTATTAAAGAAAAACAAATAAAAACTTTTTTTTATAATATTTACAATAATATTACTATTGATTTTATAAATATATGTACATAAAATTCACATACTTATAATAAAAGTCACCATAGAAAATTGGCCCTTTACTAATGATTTTTACCTTACTTTTTCTTAAATTCTATTGGTTAATTAATTAAAAAGGAAAAAATCATAATAATATAATATAAAATTTTCTTTATAGTAGGATTTGCAAAGAATTTTATATATAATTTTTACCTTAAATCTGAAAGTGATCTATCTGAAAACTTTACAGTAGAAAGGGATGAAACTACCAAAAAAAAATAAAAAATGAGTTAATATAAAGTTTGAACAAATTATAGCATTTAGAATATTTTTGACATATAAAAGAAAATTTAAATTTTTTTTAGTAGTTTCGTCCTTTTTTACTGCAAAGCATCCATCTTATAAGTAAGCAGAATTCTGTGAATTTACTTCTAGTGAATTTTATTTACTACTGGTAAGTGTTAAAATTACTCATAAAATAATTTAAAATATTTATCAAATTTTATAATTTGACTAATTTTTTAAAAGTTGTTATAGTAAAAGTATTTTAATAATTATTCAATTTTAATAAAATTTAATATATAATTACTTTTAAAAGTTATAAAATAGTCTGTAAAATTTTAGTATATATTATTATGTAAAATATTTCAAAATATTAATTAGTATTTTACATATTAACTAAATGATTTGCATTTTGCATAATAGTATTTTTTTCAATAATTTTATAAATAACATATTTGCATTAAATATGTCCTATTTTTTAAACGAATAGATAATAATATTGTCAGAAATACTTTTCTATGCATACTTTACCTATTTTGTAAATATCACTTATTTTTATATATTAAAAATTTTCTGTTTTAATATATTTAGCATTATCATTAGACATCTAAAAATGCTACTTTTTACAAAAGTTATCATTAAACGGTTTATTAATAGTAATATTAAAGGGTTGACATTTACTAGTTAAACCATTAGAAATTACTACCAAATTAATATTGCTTTGATTAAATTATTCTTTAACTGACCCTTTCAAATATCCTCTAAAGAATTAAAAACCATCATGGCTGAAAATCTGGATTGGCTGTTTAAACTTCTCATATGATTAAGATAATTTATATAATATTTTATCAATTTAAAATTTATCCATGAAACTATATTGTTAAAATAAGAAATGCGGCACAGTAATTTTATGTAGATCATTTTGTAGATCATTTTGTAGATCTCTTGATTTTTTGATAAATCTGATATATTAATTTATTTATTTTATTAATTTTATTTGTTATATTTTATTTATTTATTATATATTATATTTATTTTTTTTATTTTATTATAAATAGTGTTAGATTTTACTTAGTTGAAGAACGGATAATTTAGAGACAAGTTTACAGATAGTTTGGTATTTAAGAATTGTATTGTAATATTTGAGTTATATGAAAAGAGCATTATTTCCAGTAATATAATTCAAGATAGTTAATTTCACAACTAAGAGATTATTTATATTTTCGTTATATTTAAAGTTTTACATTATTTTAATAAAAACCTATTTTCTTTAACTGAATATCCAATGTCATCTTATGTGATTATTTGCAATCAACTTAAGACTCTTCTATTAAGTTAAGCTCCAGTTAACCTGTTAAAGCATTAAAGTTTTTCAGTTAGCTTTAATTGTTAACAGGATAACAATATAACTACACCAGAACCTTTTATTGTGTGGCATTTGTTTACCTTTAAAAATACAAATTAATGGTAATCTAGTTTTATCTGTAATAAAAAAAGAATTAAAAAATAATAATTATATTAAAATTGTTAAATTATCAAAAATTTTACCTGTAGTACATATCAAAATAATAGTAAACCAGTTGTTTTCATTGCCTGTTCTACAGATGTGAATGGTTCTTTTCTCCTTTGTATTAATGGTAAAATTTCTGATTATATTGAACTATACAAGCGTTTTATCCATATTGAATATGTTATATAATTCAAATGATTTCTGGATTCTAAGATGAATAATAAACTAGTAAAACTCTTTTAATTTTTTTTCTAATTGCTCAGGAAGTTTTTGTGATATTTTATATGCTGACACCTTATTAAATTATGCCTCTTCATAAATGCATTTAACCAACCTATAATTGCTTTAAACTCTATTATTAATAAATCACTATAAAAATTACCATATCTGCTCTATCCAAAATTTTATTCATTGAAATTTTTTTAATAATACTGGTGTTCCTTATTCCTAAAGAGATAGGAGTAAAAGTTGATATAACTATATAACCAAAAAATTATAACAACCAGCTAAATTATATACTGCCACTTCATTTCCATCCTCTGCTGCTTTTTTATAATTTTTTAGTGTAATTTAAAATTTATTTTACTTAATAAGTGAAAAGAGTGATGACAGATTTTATCTACAAATGGAAGTAAAAATATCAAAAAATAATAATGTTGTAATCTAAATCGAGCAATATCGGAAATTGCGAAACTTGAGCTTGAAAATATGAAAATGAAAAGAAGACTTGAAATCTGAAAATTAATTTTGAATTTTAAAATGTTATAAATTTCTTTTATGTAAATGATTATGTAAATTTTTTATTAATTAACCGTATATTAAGTATTTATATACAATGGATTTTTGGTCAAAAACCAAGTATACATTATATGTATTGTTTTTAGGTTATATGCATGTATGGACAAATACCCTACATACTGTGTGACGTCCTAAAAAAAACTGAGATACTAATTTTGTACTCGTTAAAATACGTCTAAAGATTTCATCATATAAAAAATAATATATTTTTTTCATTAATCTCATTAATCAGAATTTTAAAAGATCTTAAGTTATTCAAGCTTTAACTTGCGCCAAAACATTTCTACAACTAGGACAAGTGTGAATTTTATCCAAACAACTAGACATAACGCAAGGTACCCACATAAGAGGACAACAAATCAAAAATAAAATAAAAGACCAAAGGTAAGCGGTATTTCCAGGAGTTTCATTTACAATAGTAGTAACGTTATTACGACAATAAGGACAAATAACTACAACGGGGTAATGAGAATAACCAATTGGCGCAGCTGCTGGTACGGCGGGTACCATATTTATAACATGTTGTGGTTGCGGTTGCGGTTGCGCCATATATACAATTCCAGGTTGTGGTTGTGGTTGCAGTTGTGGTTGCGCCATATATACAATTCCAGGTTGTTGTGGTTGCATAGGTTGCATATATATTGGTTGTGCTTGAACGGGATTTCCTGCAACAGGTGTATTCGTTTGCTGTTGCGGATATTGTTGTTCTGAAGAATATGGTGGTGGAGATTTTGTGGTTGTTGACATCGCTTTTTAAAATAATATATATGAGTTTGATAAAGATAAATTAATACATAAAATGACCTATTTTTTATAAAGCATATAAAAAAAATGTTGCGAGTTAGGTATATTAGGTATAATTACCGTAAAGAAAAGTTTCTTAAAAAGTACGACGGTTTTTAAAAATTTTTCTTTAAAAAACTTTATATACCTTTTTTTTCTGCCTTTTTAAGAGCCTTATATACATAAAAAAGTATGACAAAAGAGTCCAGAATGTATATCACAAATTACTTAATTAGGAATTATAATGAATTTTCACGTTACGATGTTATATTTCTGTATACGTTACCTAACTCGCACAATGAATGTAAAACAAAATAGAAGTTAATAAGATCACACGAACTGTCCGGAGTAAAGAATTAGGTTGAAATCCGATAGTCATCATTCTCGGTTATAATCATATGATGAGGAATAATTTAATTGCCAACTTCAATAAATTTATAAATCTTTACCGCTATATCAAATCATTAATCAAAACATTGAAAATAACTGTGCAAATAAAGTTAATAGTATGCCTGGTGCGCACGCACTGGCCATTCGAGATTCCGTATATGCTAAACAAATCTTTAAATTTTGCTTGTTATACAGTAGTCATCACAGCGTAGCAAAGTATCAAAGACATCACATGCAACGGCACAGCAAAAGTCTGGCGCAGTAGTTATATCATAAGACTACCCCAGCGTAATCTGCACATGTGAACGAATAGTGCGTGACGAGTAGGATTTTGTTACTAAAAAATTTCGTCTCTCAGATACTTAGAAACAAGGAAGGGTGATGAAAAATATTACGTGATTTTTCGTGACATTTTTTTCAGGTTACGCTGGGAAAATCTTATGACATGTGTACTTATTTGGTTTGGCGTAAATACGATACTATATTGTAAGATAATGGAGTTTATGACACACGAGAGTTTAAAGGTTGCCGTTGGGGAAACTAAATCCTGACAGCCTCAACCTCCTTTCAATCTAATTTTCCGTCGGAGTAAAAGTGACTACTCGTTCGATAAGTCGATCGAGCATAACGCGATATTTAAGTTCGTCTCGTATGCACAAACAGAGGAAGTTAAACCTTCCGGCGAAACGTTGTTTTAGAAAAAAAGGAAATGGAAGTAAATGCGACTATGAGGCAGAAAGAAATGGAGATAAAACTGGCAACGGTATGTGATATTGTAACATGATAAGAGGAAATATGCCATGACAAAACATTTTAAAGCAATAAGCATATGAAATTTATATGGTTTGTAGGTACAATTTACTTCTGATAATTTCAACACGGGAACAGAATAGGTGTCATGTTAAAAAATAGTAGGTGATGAGACATTCTTGGAAAGTCAAGGAACGCATAAGACAAATAGGTCTAATTTGCAAAAAAAGGATGATATAGAGCATTTGATAGAACCCGCAAGAAAGGTGAGCCCAAGGACGCGCTCCCCTATAAAATCAGTTATTATAATCTTACTACATCTTGGTGAGCTGCGCATATCCAGCTTTTGGACCAGAAATGCAAGCTAGTTGAAGATGTATATGGTTAACTACTTGTCTCTAGCGCACTACATTTCATGAATATGACAGATAATAGGTATAACTAGATCCCAATTGATCCAGTTAGCAGGTTTAGCTTTAAAATCTAAGAAGGGATTGAAGAACTTAGAACTGATTTTTGGTGCATTGATATAATATGACATTAAGTTAATGGATCTTTCGACTGAGCAAATCCTTTAACTTGAAAGACGTAGACGTAGTTAGTGTTATGATCTGGGTCAAGATTAATCCATCAATCTGACAGATATCTGATTCGAAATTAATAGGATTTCAGTCAGATGACAAATGAATTTGGATAAAAAAAGGATCAATTCGGATGATCCGTTATTAAATATAGAAAATTAAAATTCTAAATTAACAATATAGTCTTCATAAAATTGCTCTAACACTTTCCTATATCGGATACTTGCATACTACTGAAAACATTAAAGATGCCATTGAAGAAGTCTTTAAAAATGTTTGGAATTTGTAATCTAAAGTGCATTCAATAATAACTAATAATAGGAGTAACATTAAAAAGTGTATAAAAAGTATGAATAGAATTAAATGGATTTCTTGTACTTCACACATGGAATTAATGCCAGTCAAAAACTTAATCTTAAGAGTGTAAGAGGTTAATTGATTTTTTTTCAAGACCTAAATAAGTCAAAAAGCTAAAAAATATTTAAAAAATCTAAATGAAGGAGAAATTGAGATAATTAATTTTGATTAAAAATTAATAATGCATATATAATATTGAAAATTTTATTTCTTTTTTTTCGCCCAAGTGATTTTTCACTCTTCTGAATTTAATATATAAAAATGACATTATGCTGATCATTTGCCAATTATTATTTTTTTTTATTTATTATTATGCTTAAAGAGAGTGCTGTTCCTTGTAAGTTACACAAACCAAACTTATGCTAAACAATTTACAACCTACCTGCCTGCAGATATACTCCATGAGTTAGGAAACAGGAACCAAATTACTATACTATAATTAGAAAATGGGAACCGTTGTAAGTCCGGAGCGAGGTATAATAAATAAAGATGTAGTGATATTCTACTAATTAGCAGCATAACGCCTTGGAATTTTGGTAATTTCTGCTGATTAGCAGCATAATGCCTTGGAATTCTGGTAATTTTCTGCTGATTAGTAGCATAACGCCTTGGAATTCCTGGACAGAGAAACTCACGTGATTGAAAATTTACACGTTATTTCCATAGATCATCATAGTGCATAGACAAATATAGTCCTTCGCTTCGCTCTGGACAATCAGCTAGTCAATTACAAATTGAATAAAAAAAAATAAAAAGAAAACACAAAATAAAATGAAAAATAAAACAAAATATATAAACATTTAAAATATGCTTCTATCTATATTAGTATCCTTCAAAAAACTAGGTAAACTTTAAAAAGAGGTTCAGGAGTAGTTAGATTAAAATAGCACATAAAGACTGGATTGTAAAGCTATATGGACTTGATCTACTTTTTAGGGTATTGTGATTACAGTCATCCCTCTCTATAGTCACCCCCTATATAAGCATACCCTCTCTTAAGTCATACCACTTTCAAGTCCTGATTTTTTATATAGTAAAATGCCTCCTATATAGTCACAAATTGATTATAGTCACTATCACAGCAATTGTTGACCCCGATGTAATAGTTAACATATGGAAAATTCCCCACTTATAGTCATTTTATGTGATTGAATTTATATTTGAAAAATGTATATCGTGTTCTGAAGATAATTATTTCATCAGTTTCATAGTATAATTTCATAATAACAATAAGATTTGCTTAAAATACAGTTAAAATGGATATAAAAGGAGTGGTAACTTTATGCATTTTTTCATGTATGCATTTGTCAATTTATGCTGTAGGCTAAAAAATTGTATAAGCTCAAATTCGGTAAAGTGAAAGGTAGGAAAAATTAAAATTATTATTTTTTTTTTTTATAATATGATTTCTATATCTGATAATCAAGTTAGCATTCATTTTACTTACAATAAAAAATTATATATAATCACGCCGAATCAAAACTTTGCATAGATGTAACTGTACATGTAAAGCCTCACTATAAGCACACCTCTCCATAGTCACACCATTTGGTGGTCCCGAAGGGTGTGACTGTAGAGGGGGAAGAATAGCGAACATCCTTTATATTGTCACATTATTGCCGATCATTTGCTGATCATTTATTAATCATCTTTTCAATATTGTCACATAAAAAAAATACTATCTGATTAATATATAAAGCTGAAATGATGTTTGATTTGACAATTTTGAGGGTAAAATTGATCAATATTAACAGAAATTATATCAATACATGTAAATTTTTATAATTAATAAATAAAATGAAAATTCAAATTTTATAATCTTAAGATCCAGTGAACATATTCTAATGAATTATATACTATTAGATTGGTCTCAGTGAGAGGATTCGAATGGTAGTAAAATCATTGCCATCAGATCCATATTGGCGAAGTTATTGCATTTTAAAATTTTGTACTAAATTAAATAGTAATATTATTAGTATTAATAATTGCAAATATTAATTTGGCCATAACTTTTGTATTACCTAAAATTATGCTGTGTTACTTCGGCCATTAATTTTAAAGACATTAATCTATAACTCATAAAAATTTTAAGTTTCGCCCGAACTTCTGTAGCTTCACCCGAAGCTTCAAAGTCTGATTAGAAGATGATCGGCATATATTAATTAATTGAAAAATTTGGCCTAAAACTAACTTTGGCATTACATTTTATTTTGGCACAAAATTTTTATATTAAACTGTTAATACTTTAAACTATTAAATAAAATAATTTAATGTTATTTTTTTACATATTTATTGTTTGAAATAATGCTTCAAAGTTAATGTGATGTCACATATATTATGATCGGCAAATGATCAGCATGTGATAATAAGCATATTCGCTATGCTAGAGGGGGACAACTGTATATCAATAAAGAGATTCATTTTGTAAGAAATCCAATAATAATGATACTGAAGTTCTATCTTCTCAAACTCTTTCAAAATCACTTATTCTAACAAAAGCTCTATTTTATAAAATGTAAAAAGCTAAAATAAACAAAAAATTGTATAAGAAAAAAGAAAATATATATTGCAGCTATTTTTATAAATTTCAATATATTGATATCTTTATCATGATTTTTGATTACCTTTAATGTATACAGATTGAAAAGATAAGGCTAAAAAGTCCATTTGTCAATTATTTAAAAAAAGATAATAAATCATTTCCATAGGGACCTAATGTAGTATCTTAAAATATATATAAAAAGGAAATTAGATAATTAATAAAAAAAACCTAATTTTAGTTTTTATTTTAAAAGTTTATTATCAGTATTATGGATTTTTTAATTTTAGTCAAAATTAAATAATTGACATAGAAATTTTCTTTTGACATCTGAATAACATTATATAATCCAAATAGGCAATTTTATTTTTTATCAAAAATAGAGAAATATATTATATAAGATCTTAAAAAAGAAAATTCACATGTTAATCACTTAATTTTAACCAAAAATAAAAAATCATGTAATATTTATAATGATCATTATACTATCACACCAGTGATTTATAGTAATTTTATTTATTTTATTATACAAAATAAAGGGTTGTATAATAATTTTAATAATAATCTTTGTATTATAATAAAATAAAATATTATAATAAGATATTATGATAAGATTTTTAAGTTTTAACTAAAATAACTAAAATACAGATTATTACCTTTAATTTTTTATTAAATTTTTTGTTGTTTGCAACACATTTAAAACTTTATTAAAAATATATTTAAGTAAATATAATACATATATTATAAAAGAAAAAATTCTAATATAATTAAATTTCAAACTATATATCTGTTACCTCTCATTGAAGAACTACTATATATGTACTATTAGTAAAGAACTTAGACTAGAAAATAAATTCATCTTAAAGGTATTCTTTTTTAGATAGGCCTCTTTCTTTCAGTTTATATTATAAATACCCTAAAGTAATTGCAAGATTAAAATTTAAAACTGTAAAAAAAAAGAAAAAAAAAGAGGTAAAACAATAATTCAGAATAAAACAAATAAAAATTAATATTCTTCAAGTATGAAGTCCTACTATAGTAATCTATTAATTCATTTTATAGTTTGTCAAAATTGAGCAGTCATCCTATCAGTTTTTAAGTCTTCTAAATAAAACTCTAATTTCTGCTAATAAGATAAATTTGCTAGTTTTATTACAATTCAACTTTTTTTTCATTACTTTAAAAGTTTTTGAAACATGTTTTTTTTCAAAAAATTTGTCCTCTTTATTCTTATTACTTAAAGTTTTCTATTCATCTTTGTAAACTATATCTTAGTTCTGCTTTTAATTACAGCTACTTCTTAGTGATTAATAATGAACTTTAGATAGTTAAAAGGAAAAATACTGATTCCAAATACCTTTAAAATCAACTTAGTACCAGTAAGAATCTTTAATTTAAACTTTCAAATAAAATTAATTTATAATATAATTTTCAATTATTGCAGTTTCACAATTTTTTATGCATAGTATAATAATCATAACCTTAAAATAGTCTTAAAATATATATAACTTTTTTAAACAACTTTTAAATAACTTTTATCATTTGAAGTACTCTATGACTGAATAATTAAACAAAGGAAATAGGAGTTTACTGTAACTTATTTAATTATATAAGTCAAGATGCTAGAAATTTTGAGAGATCTAGATATTATAGTTTATAAGTTGTGGTATAATAGATTCATTAGATAATGATTATAAAAAATTAGAAATTTCAGATACTGATGATACTTTGTAAAATTATTGGTTATTTTTTTACAAATTTTTCAAAAAGGTGCTTATATTCAGGTAAAATATAAATTAGGGGGTGCTTATATTCAGGAGGTGCTTATATTTGAAAATTTATAATATTTGTTTTTTCATATAAAAAGTAGTGTGAATAAATTAATAATAAATAAATAATATTTCATAATTTTTAAGCTTAATTAAATTGTTTTTTTTAAATAAAATTTAAGTTTACATAGCATTATTTTAATCCCTCTCTTGAATACTGGAAAATTAACTAGCTTTTCAGACTTTTCTTCATCTTATATATTAAACATATTAGCCAGCTCTCAAAAATTTTGCTATTAAAAAATCTTCAGAAATCCCAAATTGCTAAACCACCCAATTTACTAATAGGAAGAAAAGATAAAATCCCAATTTTAGATACCTAAAAAACTTTTCGGGAGAATATGATATAGGACGTATCTTTCGTTTATGTAAACATATGAATGATCTTATATCAAAAAAAGACAAACTAGCATCTTCAACCTCAAAACGGAAGAAAAAGAAAGCATTACGTGTCAACAATGCTATCTCTCATATGCGAAAAAAGATCAAACAATTGCAGAATGAGATTCATCGAAAAACAATCAAGTTCTTAACTGATGAATTTGATGTAATTATTATTCCCCCTTTTGAGGTTTCAGATATGGTGAAAAGAAAACACGAAAGATAAGAAGGAAACCAGTTAGAAAGATGCTTTATTGGTCTCATAACAAATTCAAGCAACGTTTGATTTCAAAAGCAGAAGAGAAAGGAATCTATGTAATAATTCAAAATGAAGCTTACACATCAAAGACATGTAGTTGGTGTGGAAATATTCAGAAGATTGGAAGATAAAAAATGTACAAATGCAAGAATTATGATATAAAAATAGATAGAGATATGGCGCTCGGAGAATTTTTCTCCGGACTTTGCTTGATTGAGCCTTGATTCTCTCCGGAGATCATGCGTAATACTTATTATTAATGTATTACAATCCATCCGATATAGTATAGTATCATTTAACAGTTAATTTGGTAAATGACGTAATGCGTAAGCGGAAATTAAATAACAGGGATGCTCAATAAAAAGGTAAATCAATCTGAAGATCATTCAAAATCGAAAATAAATGGAACATTAGGTAGTAAAACAATAAATTAATAAAAAATCCTTATAAAATCGAAACAAATGGATAATCAAATATCAAAGAAAATCGAAGATTTAAATTATCAGTACCAACAAAACGAAAACAAAATTTCACATTATAAAAAGGAAATTCAAGATTGGAACGAACAAATGAATGCGTTACAACATAGCATTGATCATAGAACATCTTTAGTAGAAGAATTGGAAAAACACAACGAAAATATAAAACAACAAATTGACCAATATTACGAAGTTGTCGAAAAAGAACTTACGAATCAGAAAAATCAAATAGAAAACCAACTTAAAAGAATTCGAAGTAGAAGAGAAAAAATTAAATATACACCATATTATTGACAATATTAATGACTTATTAATGACACAATATTTTTTTGAAGAATTTACAATAAGAGAAATATTTATATCACCATATAAAAGAAAAATACGATATCGAATTACTGTAGAGTAAATTCAGAAAATAAAAAATTAAGGATTAATAGAATAGAAAAAAAGCTTTAACTTTCAAACGTATTTTCAAATATTCTATTAAGATTACAACTACTGATTAATCAACAAAAATGATTATTTTAACTATTTTAACTAAGCTAAAATAAGTATTTTTTATTTCAGGTAAATACAATGCAATCAGAAATTAAACAAGGGTATAATACAAGAAATAATTTAGTAGTAAAGCGATAGGGATGTTGTTAAAAATGCAGAAGGTTACATATTGAAAGCCAGACATGTACAATGTAAAGTTAATCTAAGACGGATATACAAGTTTATGTCATCATTACATATTAACAAGATATATTTATAATTTATTAGAAAGATTATCAAAAATCCTGCAAACAATTTTTTTTATTAAAATGCGTAAAATATTAATTACATATCGGAGGAGGCTATATGAGTATTATGATGAATGCTATCTAATGTAATATTTCTTGATTGATAAAAATATGATGCTGAACTATAAATACATATGTGATTTACTGATTATTCATTTCTTTTTTATTGTTCTTATCAAAAATTGCCCATAATAAAAATTCTTCAATAACATTCCAATAACAAGGTTGAGTAATTGTATTACCATGATTACCATAAGGAAATTCTTTCCATTCTTTACCGGCCAAAGTATTTGATAATTCATATAATTCTTTCATCTGTTGTTGTGATACTAAAGCATCTAATTTACCTGATAAAAATAATATTGGAATTTTCTTGATTTTTTTAATTTGTTCATCTGATGGCCATATTTGTGTACATATAAATGTTATATATTTTAATGGAGAAAAAAATGTTGGTAATAATTTCGGCTGTACAGCAAGAAAAAAAATAAGTTTAATAATTTGAGAGTATGTAAATTTAGAATCTTTAAATTTAAATAAGGTGTAACTTACTATACTTAGAAATGTGTTTTCTACAATTAATGCATCAACCTGAAAAAAAATTTTATCATCATTAAAATTTCTTTCGATAAAATAATAATAGCAATGTATATTTACCTCATCTTCATTTTTCGCAGCCAAGTCAATAGCAACGGCACCTCCTAGTGAACTTCCATACAATATTAATTTTGTACCATGTAGGATTGGATGTTGTTTTATATAATCTAACGCGGTCTTAAAAAAATTATGAATATGAGTTGATCGCAAAATTTTTTCTAACGTTAAAAATAAAAAATACATTTTCAGTTACCTGTGCATCTATTTTAATTCCTTCTTCTGATGGAATTCCATCACTACTTCCATATCTAGAAGATATTTGAAAATACAGTAACGATTATTTTTAAAAGCCGAAAGAAAATAATTTCCATATATTATTCATTAAATTTACCCTCTATAAGAAAGTAGCATTATATTGCATTTTAAATTTTGATAAAAATTACGAGCAATTGATGATTGTTTGCCCTATTAAAAAGACAAATTGAAAAATTCTATATTTTCGAAACCTTTTATTAAAATAATATGACTTTAAATTTACTAACTATATTTCCACGATTTCCCTAAATTAACAATAAATAATAAATTAATTAATAAAATAATTAAATTTGATAAACAAATAAAAAATTCTTACATGTAATGCTAATACAGTAGGCCGTTGACACGCTTCTTCGTCATTTTTTCTCTTGCATAAGAATGCGCGAATTCTAACCTTATCTTTTGTAGTTAGTATTACTTCAGTATAAGGGATTTCTTCATCAGAAAATTTTGGAACAATCTATATAATTTATTTGTTAGTGAGATTATGAGAATAAAAGATAGATAAATAAAATGTAACTTACGAATTCACGAGATTTCTTTCGATATTTTGCTGGATAAAGTAATTCATTTTGATAATAATATAACAAAGACCCACCACCAATCGCTATTGTTGTTCCCATTAATATACTCTCCAATAAAACCATCTTCAAATGAAATTAAATGAATTGATTTTTTATTTTTATTTTTAATGGAAAAAGATTCTGTTATTCTTTACCCCATAAACAAAATTGTATAACAATGCACAACATGGGTAATCATTTGCGCCATGTCTGAATAAAGAAATAAAGCATGATCATGTGGATAATAAACTAAGCCTATTTAAATTCTCACAATAATTCCAATATTTATTTTTTCTATATATATATACTCCCAAGAATTGTTGTTCCGTTGTTCGGAATTTCGTACGATCCGAAAGTATTATATATACTCCAAGAATTGTTATTCCGTTGTTCGGAATTTCGTACGATCCGAAAATATCATGAAAGAAATAAACCAACTTCGTCTCTTTTTAACTATAATACAATCATTATATTAAAGTTAGATTCTTTATTACACGTGATTAGGTGGATGCTTTTTTGATCAGATTTAATTCGCAATCATTGCGTTTTTCTTTTGTGAAACCGGTAGATCATTGAAGCCTAACCATAGTAATTTTTAATCTTTTTAATTTTAGTTTTTACCCTTTCGGAAGTTCTTTGTCTATTTGTTATGGCTAATATAAATAATAATCACTATAGTCACGTGCTAATACTTTGTTTCCGATTTCAGCTAGTGTTATCGATAAAATTCATGAATGGATCATATGATCCACCCACTTATTATATATGTGTAGACAGGAAATAAGAAATCAAGTGGGAAATCCTGATTGTATATAAAAGTACTTTTTTTTACCCTTTTTTCTAAAACTTTCTTTTTAAATTATTTGAGATCAGATTTTTTTAATTTTTGTTATACGCAATTACGCATATATATATATATATAGTATTTTTTTTTGCAAATCAAATCAAATGTTAATTATCACAGGAACAACTACTATCATGACAATTAGTGGAGTGGCCTTATTATATAATATATTACAACGTGAATTGCTTTATCCATCTAATTGGCCAATGGGATCTAGGAAATTTGTAAGTTTTTATATTATGTCTAAAAAATTTGAGGGGAAAAACGATTAACAATTAATCCTATACAACCATATGCGTATATATATTGTACGTATATTAGGTATCAAAACCATCGGAATATGGAATTCCTTATTCGGAGATTAAATTATTTACAAAAGATAATGTTCGTCTAAGAGCATTTGTATGTAAACAACCGATAGATCGAGAAGCTAAAAAACGACCTACTATTATAATGTTTCATGTAAATATTAAACTTTGCAATTAGAATTTTATTTAAATTTCATCTTTTAACTTTACTTCTTTTTTACTTTAGGGTAACGGAGGAAATATGGTAATTAAAAATTCATTTTTTTAAAAAAAACTTTTTCTTAAATTTTCTAATTTCTATTGTTAAAAAAAGGGACATCGATTACCAATAGCACGAATTTTTTATCTCGAGTTAAATTATAATGTAATTTTATTATCTTATAGAGGGTAAGTTGTCAAAAGATATTTATATTCTAATTAGCAAATCCATTGACTGAAATAATATGAAATTCAGATATGGCCGAAGTGAAGGAACACCAGCAGAAAAGGGGTTACGTATAGACGCACAAGTATGCCAAGAATAATTTTTTTTTTTTTTTTTTTTTGGTTTGAATTAAAAAAAAATTGACTTGTCTTCTTATCTCAATCGATTTTTTAGCAAAAGTTAATTCCACATTTAATTCCAAAATTTTCATTTTTACGTTATTTTTCATTTTTATGTTGGCAAAATTGGCGTTCAGAGAATTCTATACAAAAAATTAAAATTATACCAATATTATTCTTATCAGGAACAAAAGATGAAATTATACCACAAGAACATATGAAAGGATTATTTGAATTAACTAAAACTAGTGGTGGTAAAGAATGGCTAGAATTTTCAAACGGTAATCACAATAATACAAATTCTCAACCTGGTTATTTTCAATATATTAGGAAATTTGTTAAACGATATATTGATTTAGATGAAGCGTAAGCAACAATTAAAGGAGTAAAAGGAACTAAAAGAGTGAAAGGAATTTGGAAATTCAAAATGAGGTGAAAATGAAAACTGTAGATTATATGTTGATTTATATATATACATTTATTAAATTGTATATTTTTAGTATAAAATAGGTTTAGTATTTATTTTATTTATTTACAAATAAAATTTAAATGTAACGACACATATATGGTATATTATATATGATTCGCTAATTGATATGTTACACGATTTCTCTGCCTGATAATTAATATAATTGGTAGATCTTAGATTTTTTAACAAAATTTTTAAATAATATGTACAATGTCAACAGGAAGGTATTCAAAGACAATTTTACCGTTATTAATTATAGGAGGAACAACCGCAATTATTAGTGGTGGTATAGCTATATTATATTCCGTTCAACGTAATTTAATTTATACTCCTAATTATCCTGAAGGCTCAAGAAAGCATGTAAAAGCTAATTTTTTGAATTTTCTTTTGAATTTTTTTTAAGCATATACTAAATGAATATAATAATATAAATGGTAGGTACCTAAACCTTCTGAATATGGTATACCTTATACACCTGTCATTTTAACTACACAAGATAACGTTAAAATTCGAATTTATGTTTGTAAAAGACATACCGATGATGAAGCAAGTTCTCGTCCTACCGTTTTAGTGTTTCATGTAAGCATTAGATTGTGACCTTGTATCTTTAAATTTAATAATTAATTGATTTATTAAATTATTTATTTCAGGGAAATGGAGGGAATATGGTAATTACATATTTTACGCAATTATGTTTATAGTTTTTTTCTAAATTAATTAATTTATTTGGAAGGGTCATCGATTACCCATAGCTGAAAGATTTTTCAAGGATTTTAAGTGTAATGTTGTAATGGTTTCTTACAGAGGGTAAGCACAATTTACTGCATTTGCTTAGATAATAATACAATATCATATGTTTACTTCTTTAACATTATAGATATGGCCGCAGCGAAGGAACACCTACAGAGAATGGTCTTTGTTTAGACGCTAAGGTAAATTTACTCTTCAAATTGAGCTTTATTGATTTATGATAATTACAAAATTGTTGATGAAATTTGTAATTAATATTAATGCAAATAGGCTGTTTTAGAATATATTAGACAAGATGAGATTCTAAGATATACAAAATTAATAGTATATGGACAAGCACTTGGTGGAGCTGTAGCAATTGATTTGATAGCAAAAAATGAAGCAAAAATTGATATATTAATATTAGAAAATACCTTTCTCAATATTGTAAGTTTATTATAATTCTTTTCAACTCATTCTATCTTGTTTTGACATAAATTTGACATAAAAAATTTTTTTTTTTTAAGCCAAAGATCCTTCCAAAAATATTTCCAAATTTTAATTTTCTCTGTTCAGAAATTTGGCCATCTGAACAAAATATAAAAAAAATTAAAACGATTCCAATATTATTTTTATCGGGTAAAAAAGATGAAATTATACCACAATACCATATGAAAACATTATTTGAATTAGCTCGAACTAGTAGTGGTAAAGAATGGATCGAATTTAGTGATGGTAGTCATTTAGACACAGTTTTACAACCAAATTATTTTCAATATGTTGGTCAATTTCTTCAAAAACATATTATTGGTTGGAAAGTTTGGTAATATGAGTTTTAATAAATTTGAGTCGACGCTTATTGGTCCATGTCGTAGAAATCGAATGAATATCTCTGTCGATCGTGTCGATCGTGGACACGTTTTTTGTTTGTTATCTACATAAAATAAATGCATTTATCAGATGTTACAAGTATAGCCTTACTTTTTATATTATTATTCTGTAATCAATACAAAGAGGAAACCAATTTCACTTTATGAGCTCTGTTCGTCTTGACGTTTTGTCAAGTGACGACTTCGACGATAGTCGTTCTTATAGCTCTTTTATTGGAAATAACCTTTCAGAAATGGATCAATTAAAGCGTAGACATACTAATACCTTACAAACACAAAAAGAGGGATACGAGCCTTTCGAACCTTTAGATTACGATGAAAACGGTAAAACTCAGAAGCCAGCTCGTTTGCCCGTTACTAAGGTAAAATAAGTAAAATAGTCGTTTTTTTCCTGATCCGTATTGTAATTGATTTTATACATATATAGTTACAAGAGATTCAAGCGTTTTATAAGGAATACTATGATATTATTCATCCTCTATTTTTCACCTTCTTATCATTTTGGACAAGGTTTTATTTAATTTCACTTTCAGATATCGTATTATGGGATGAGGCACATTTTGGAAAGGTAATCTAAAACCTGTTTAGTAATTGATCTTTCACTTTAATATTTAAATAGTTTTTTTGTTGTTTTTAGTTTGCATCACATTATATCAAACAAGAATTTTACTTTGATGTACATCCACCTCTTGGTAAAATGATAGTTGCATTGGCAGGACTAATTGCTGGTTACAATGGAGGATTTGACTTTGCATCCGGTGCAAAGTATCCAGAAAATGTTAATTATACAGTTATGAGAATGTTTTTAGCTTCATTTGGTGCATGGCTGGTTCCTTTGGCTTATTTTACGGCCATTGAATTGGACTTTTCGCAACATGCCGTTATTTTGGCGACTCTCATGGTATTGTTAGGTAATTTTAAAATTTATTAAAATTTTTATCTGTATATTTTTTTTATTTATCTATATCAATTTTTTACTTTAGATACCGCATATCTTTGTATAAGCCGTTTCATCCTATTAGACTCAATGTTATTATTTTTTACTTTTACAACTATATTTTTTATGGTTAAATTTCATAATCAGAGACATGAGTACGTGTACTATTTTGTAATATTAATTAATATGAGACTCTGTTTGAAGTTATTTAAATCAATTTTTTTAATTATAGCCCATTTTCGATAGATTGGTGGTTATGGCTTATTTTGACTGGAATTTCCATTGGGTGTGTCTCAAGGTAAGTTTAATCAGAATATATTAATATTTTTTTATTTATTTATTCCCTTATAATTAATCTAACGACTTGATTTGTATTAAAGTATTAAATGGGTCGGATTATTCGCAACAGCACTTGTTGGATTGTATACAATTGAGGATCTCTGGGATAAATTTGGAGATTTGAGCATTCCAAAGGTATATATGCAATGTAGCAATGATAGTTTACATTTCTTTTTCGTTTCTTTTTCTTCATTAACGGGAAATGGAAGGGCGTTAAATTTCTTAAGGAATACCTTTTTTTTTTTATTTTTTAGTCCATATATTTAAAACATTGGATAGCGAGAATAATTTGTTTGATAATTCTACCTATATTGATTTATATGTTGAGCTTTTCTATTCATTTTTCAATCCTTACTAATAGTGGACCTGGTGATGCTCAAATGAGTTCTCTCTTTCAAGCTGGACTCAATGGAAATGACTTTTCGGAAAATCCTCTTGGTTCGTTAAAATTACTTTACCATTTTTATTATTATTATTTTATTATTTTTATTCTTTATAATTTATTAATTTATAAGTTATAATGTTTTATTTAGAGGTGGCATATGGATCAAAAATTACGGTCAAGAATATGGGATATGGGGGTGGTCTTTTACATTCTCATGTTCAAACATACCCAGAAGGGTCGGGACAACAACAAGTAACTTGTTATCACCATAAGGATTCTAATAATGATTGGATTGTTACAAAACCAAGAGAAGCTCAAATAAACAATAATGACACTGAGGTTGAATTTGTGGTTCATGGAGATACAATTAGATTAATACATGATGGTACTGGAAGAAATTTACACAGTCATCAAGTTCCTGCTCCTGTAACAAAATCACAATGGGAAGTTAGTGGCTATGGTAATGATACCATCGGAGATGTTAATGATTATTGGGTGATTGAAGTTATAGATGATTTGTATACAAAGACGAATCGTATCAGATCATTAACAACTCGTATGAGATTTCGCCATAGTCTTCTTGGATGTTACCTTCGAGCTGCTAATGCAATTTTACCACAATGGGGGTTTAAACAAGTTGAGGTGTCATGTGATAAGAACAATAATCCAAGGGATTCATTCACTCACTGGAATATTGAACGACATTGGAATGATAAATGTATGTGTCAAATTTATTTAAAATCTCTACGATTAATTTAATATTTATCATTATTTTTTTTAAAAAAAAAATTTATAGTGCCAAGTGGGGGTAAATCCTATTATAGGTCAAAATTTTTGCATGATTTCTGGCATTTAAATGTTGCCATGTATACAACAAATAATGCACTTGTTCCTGATCCTGATAAAGAAGATATTCTTGCATCTACACCAAGACAATGGCCAATTGTAGAAGTTGGGTTGAGAATGTGTAGTTGGGCAGATGATGTTGTTAAGTTTTACCTACTCGGGAATCCAATTATATGGTGGTCTGGTACGGCATCTTTAGTAATTTTTGTATTCACATTACTTTACTATTTAATAAGACGACAGAGAAAATATAAAGATCTTTCTCCAGGTGAGAAAAATTATTTGATTTAAATTAGAAATATGTGATAACATAAAAATATTAAATTTTTTTTTTTTTTTTTTTTTTTTTTTGTTTTCAGCACAATGGGACCATTTTTTATATGTGGGAAAAGTATGCGGGATAGGCTGGTTATTACATTATTTACCGTTTTGTATTATGGGAAGAGTTACATATTTACATCATTATTTTCCTGCATTATATTTCTCAATGTTAATGGCAGCATTTATGATGGATCATTTCACCGTTAGTTGTAAACCAAAAACAAAAAATATAATATTTGGCATATATTATTCATTAATTGTAATAGTATTTTGGTATTTTAAAGATATAGCATTTGGTATAAATTATCCTGCTAGCGAATTAAAAAGTAGAAAGTGGCTTAGTACTTGGAATATTGTGGATTAATAATAAATAAAAATTTAGAAATTTCTTATAGTCTAGAGTTTTTTGATTTTGTTATTTCATTTGATAGAATATAATATTTAATACGTATAAAATAATTAATGTACATTTATATGATTCACATAATTAAATCATAATTAAGCTAAATAGCCAATTACTTCACTAAACTTCCATTCATTATTCCAGAATCTACATGATATATTAATTTATTAACGTATATATATTTTAATCCAAAATAGTAACTTTATTTACTTACCCGGCACCAAGTAGACCACCAATTCCTTTCCATTTTGTTTCGGGTCCTGTAATGATCCAATCTGGAATTGGGACACCAGTTCGTTTAGGAAATAATTTAGAGATCTGATCCAAGCCGGAAATATCTGTCCCTGAAATTATTAATGAAAGTTGCGAAACTTTATATGGGTGTAGAAATAAAATTCCTAAAGAAAAAAAAAATTGTTAATGTACACATCGAACAAAAAAAGAATTTTAAGTGATATAACCTATTCCGGGTCCAGAAAATTTCCTATAATGTAATTGAAATGAGCCGTCTTTATAAAATTTAACTAATCATAAAATTTAACTAAAAATTAAAAATGTGCAAAATAATAATAAAAATGAGAAAAACTATAAATATCTTGTACCATCACTAATTCTTTCGTTCATAATTATTTCCGTAACTTTATTCTCAAATACATTTCCTAGTAATATTATATTTCCTTTAATAGATTCATTACTAATAAATTCATTATTATTATTAATTAAATCCGTATCATAAATAATTATTGAATTTCCATTTCCATAAAGATACCATGAATGAGAAATTTCCTGAGCCATATTCATGAATTTTAATTTAATAGATTTTGAAATTGAAATTGTTCCTACTATAATGAGTAATGGAAATTTAGATTCAAGAATTAAATGAGCTGGGCCATATGTTAAAGAATGTTTTTGTGTATACATCCATGTATTATTATTAGATATCTAAAAAAGAAAAGGATTAGAATATTACAATATATATATATAAATATTTTAAATATTACCTTCCAGATACTTCCATTATCATTCTTATAAAATGAAAAATCTTCTTGAAATATTTGAATTATAGATGATGAATTAAAATTAAATTCTATATCATCAATAGAAATTTTTGAAATTTTTTCAATAGAAAATGGAATTAAACTGATAATTTCATCTTGTTTCTTGAATTTAAATCTTTTAATATTTGTTGTTTTTAGAGAATAAATAATTTGAAATAAATTATTTTCAGATAAAACTTTATAAATTTCCACATAAATTTTTCCTAATCTTTAATTTTTTTTATTAAAAAAAAAATAAATTAATAAAAGTAAATTTATCTAATAAAATAATTTTTTTATTACTTATTTTACTTACCTAAATGGAATAATTAATTGTTCAATTATAATACCACATTTACTTCCAAAATTTGCAGGATTAACTAATGTAATATTAAATTTATTTAATAAAATAGGATTTTTTATTAAAAGATTATCATCTATTAATTGTGATGATATTAATTGAGTAAAATTTTTTTGAGAAGAAATTAATAAATATTTATCCATAAATTCTTGCATAATATTATCACTCATTACATTATCAAACCAATGCCCTTGATTTATTACTTCTGATAAACTAAAATAAAAAATAATAATTAATTTAAAAATTTATTTACTTTTAAATAAAATTTAAATCTTACTTTATTGCTAATGGATTATGTGAATATTCATTTACTAATCTAACCATTTGCCTGGAATGCATGGGAGGTACATTATTATCATTTGCTCCAACCCTTGCTAATATTGGTATATTAACCTATAAATAAATTTAATTTAATTAATTAAAAAATATTTTACTTTTAGTTTTTATTATTTTACTTACCAAATTTGATATATATAAATCATTATTAAATTCTGCTAATGAAGAATCCAAAATCTATTATAAATATTAAAAACAATTAATTATATTTAATAAAAAGTATATTATATTCAATTATTCATAAAATATTTACTCCTTTTAAAATAGGATCAATATATGCATAACTATTCCAAAAATATGGTACATATTGTTGAATTTTAACATAACCTGCTGCAGGTGTACTAGCAATTACCAAATCAGGATAATGAGAGATAAAATACCAAGCACCTTGTCCACCATTTGAATGACCTATTTAATATTTTATTAATAAATTAATTTACCTTTACTTTTTTTTAATAATATAATTATAATTACCTGAAATAAACAATTTATTTGAATCTGGTATAGAATTTTTTAAATAATCTTTAAAAATTCCAGTTGGATTCATTAAAGCTTTTATAGCATATTGAATATTTAATAAACTTGGACCATGCCAATCATATCCCCATAGTGTTCTTCCTGTAGGTAATAATATCTTTAAATTGTTTAATTAATAAAAATATATATTAATAAAAAAAACATTATTTATTTTTATTTTACATTTACCCATGAAAATTCTTGTTTTGGGTAAGCATTAGTCCAAAATTCTGCATTAGCTTCAACACCTGCACCATGTAATGCTACTAATATAGGAGATTTATTTGGTTTGTTATGCTTTTTTGGATGCATAATCATAGCTAAAAAACAAAAATATTAGTTAAGAATATGTATATTATTTAAAAATCATTTTTATAAATTACCATATTGTATTGATTCATCAAAATCTTCAAAAGTAAACTTATAAAATTCATCCAAATTTTTATTTTTAATCAAAATTTCTTTGGTGGTTTTTATCCAAAAATTTTTATGACTTTGTAATGATTTCAAAGATATAGAGAATTTTAAAGAAAATGGCAATAATGACTCATAGTATAATTCTTCTAAAATTAATCTTATTTTAATATTTTGATGTTGTGAAGGTGCAAGACTTATTCCATGTGTTAGAGAGTCATAAGAGGTGGGAATTAATTCAGCTCTTATCTGTTGAAATTTTATAAACAAAGTGAAATATGCTAGATACAAAAAAAGGAAACATAATCCTTGACGAATACCTTTATAGGACAATTAACAACTTCAACTTTATCAACATTAATCCATTCATCTTCCAATGTATTCAAAATCGGAATACTCATATACTCTCCGGCAAATTTCGTTCCTTTAACTAAATCTGGAACAATAATCCTTTCATGTAAAAACATTGCACCCAGTTCTTCTAATTCTAAATTTCTCAAATCGCAATCAAAAGTTATTCTTGGTGGAGTATTATCACCAAAAATTCGAATTTCGTTAACAACTCTTATATTAATTGTATATTGGGTATTAACTGTCAAATAAAGTATATAATAAGATGTACGATAATTATACCAATCTCCATGAAATCTTTGATCATTAATGTAAAAATCTCCAATATTATGACACTGTATAAGAATTGGAATTTTATGTTCTGATGAAGATTCTGGAACGGTAAAATATCCACGGGCCCATAATTGAAATTGCGAAATTGACCATCCCAACGAATTCTTATTAAAATTCCATCTTCAAAAAATTGTTATTATTTTTTTTTTATATTTTATAATTTATAAATTTTATTTAGGTTTAAATTAACTTTTTTTTACCTAATATTACTGAAATTAATTGGACCTACGGAACCATCTTCATTTGATTGAATTTTAGACCATTTTACAGTCCCATTATCTGCTAATTCTGATGAAAATATTTGTTCCTCCGAATATTTCAATTTTGAAAACCCTCCTAATCGGTTTTAAAGAAAAAAATTATTTTAACAGAAAATTTTGAACAAATTATTTTTTAAGTGTAATTTACCATAAGCTTCTAATGGATCCGCACCGAAATCTTGCTCACGTGTTCCGGTTGAAAATGGTCCTAATATCTTGTTTATTTTTTTTTTATTAAAAAAAAAAAAATATTATTATTTGGACAGACTTGCTTCAACTTTAAATTTATCACAAATTTTTATTATCGATGACTAAACCTCCCAGAATTGTGGTTTTAAATTCATTAATGATGGTTTAATGGTAGTTAATAAAAAAGAAGAGCACCAACCGATTATTTTTTTTTTTTTTGTGTAAATGCATGTGTACACATTCTTAGTATCACAGTTTTTGTAACACACTCACCTATAAAGAAAATCTTTTTTTCGCATTTTCCTGTTTTTCTCGAAAAATAAAAATTGATAAAAAAATATTAAAAATTTAAGAATTTACTTTGATCTTTCAAATTTATTATATTTGCAGCACAGACCATCAGAAATTACAGTATGATTTAAAAATTTATTACCTGCCCATGTAGAAAATTAGGTCGGCCGTCGGCGATCGGCCGTGTAACCGATGATGATATGGTATCACTCTCATTTTTTTTTGAAACGATGGATAACTCGGATAACTCGAGAAAACGATTTTTATAATTTTTATGTATAATTTATTTTTCGCTAGTTTAGTAACATATTTTGAAGGTATTTATACATTTATTTTTATTCTTTATTTTTGAAAAATATATTTTATAATAAAACATTATGTTGAATTATTGTAGTAAAGACACAAAAATCTAATTATGAACGGTGACCCTCAAATTGGAACAAGTGCAAATCGAGCAAACACACTTCAAATTCCAAGCGTGGGAATTGAAGGTAAATATTTTTTTTTAATTTTACCACTTAACAATACCTAATTAATTTTTTATATCTAGAAACGGGAGAGCTATCACCTTCATTAATATCTGCCATTAATAATCTTGCGATTGATAATTCCGATGATGAATCTTCTGATGATCAGGTTGAATTAGATGAAGACCCTGTTGATACATCAAGAGATGAGGTATTTTGAAATTATAGTCAATAATAGGTTTAATTTTGACCCTTCTCATGTATTCTTTTATAGCGACCGGCTTATGCATTCGATGAATCCACTGCTACATTGTCTCAACCTGTTGGTCCTGCAGAACATTTAAGAGCCATAGTAATAAATAGGCCTACCGCTCAAATGATATCAGTCTTTAGATTACAAAAAACGCGAGAACAGATGTCAGAAAAAGAAGTGACTGATTTTGTCATGAAGTAAAATAAATTTTAATTAATTCAATATATCATGTTTGTCATTTGATTAATTTATTTTATAATTTTTTTTAGTCCTGTTCCACAAGGTCAAAAGGTTCTTTGTAAAATAATTCGTAGTAAAGATGGTTTCGGAAAGTTTTATCCTCAATATGAACTTTATATCGAAGATATTTCAGAAAATGGAGAAGAAACACGAACATTTCTTCTTGCCGCTAGAAAAAGAAAAAAAAGTAAAAGTTCACATTATATTATAACCACAGATAAACTTGATGTAGCTGTATCATCAAAAAATATTGTAGGAAAAGTCAGGTAGATCTTGATATCTTGATAATATTTTTACAAAAATCGTATTTAATTATTTTATTCAAATTATGTTATATTTTTTAGATCCAATTTCTTGGGTACAGCTTTTGCTATATATTCAAAGGGACGAAATCCGTTTAAACGCGAATCAGAATCATCAAATTTACCTGTTCGAGAGGAATTAGGAGCTGTTGTTTACGTAAGTTTTATTTTCTGTAAAATTGTTTTCTTTTTTTTTTTCTTTTTTTTTAAAAAAAAAAGATTGGAAATGTTTCTGATTTATTGTTATTTTATAGGATCCTAATATTCTTGGATTTAAAGGTCCCAGAAAAATGACCGTCTTATTGATAGGAATGACGAGGAATGGTGAAAGACCAGAATTTAGGCCGGAAACAGTAAGAATTTATTTTATTGTCAAACATTTCTCTCGCATTTTGTATTGTTTAGTAAATTTACTGTTGGTTTTGTATTAGGATGCACAAACATTGATTGGAAAGTTCAAAAATGGAGATCACAGAGATATTTTAGTATTACATAACAAATCTCCACAATGGAATGAAGGTAAAGATGTTGAAAATGATATTTAAATTAGTTTTTGTTTAAAAATATTTTATAATTTTCTTATTGATTATTATAGAAACACAATCATATGTCTTGAATTTTAATGGAAGAGTTACTTTAGCTTCGGTGAAAAATTTCCAGATTGTACATGATAATGATCGTATGTTTTATACTTCATTTACTTTTTGTTTATAACTCAATTTGAACGTTTTACTAACAAAGGAAAGTTTTAAAGTGGATTATATTATAATGCAGTTTGGGCGTGTTGAAGAAGATACATTTACAATGGATTTCATGTATCCAATGTGTCCTCTCCAAGCTTTTGCTATTGCTTTGACAAGTTTTGATGCTAAATTGGCTTGTGAATAATATTTAAGAATATTGAACACGTATGTCCAATTTTGTATCACCAATGTTTAAGAAATGACTATTATGTTATTATTGACAATTTTTTTATTTTAGATTTTAGAAATTGAATTCAAAATGATATTCAATATGAATATTGCTAATAAGCACGTTAGGGAAATATTTAATATGGTTAATATGAAAAGAGAATAAATTGTAGAGTAATTTATTATTATATTTGGAATTTCAATTAATTCAATTAATTTAAAGCAAAATCTAATTAAATTGACTATGATCGACTGATTATAAGAATCCATCTTGTGTAACTAGCATAATAAAAATCCATTATCCAAATTTAATTTTTTTTTTCTTCATTTTTTTATTTTTGTCATTTCCTAAGATATGTATAAATTTTTTACAAAAAAATTTTCTTCTTTAGCTTATCAAGGTAAATATATAACTTATACAATAACTTAGATTTGGTTTAATCTTAAAAAAAAAAAAAAATTTTTTTTCTATAATATAAAGCCCAGAGTAAACCTTTTAAGGGCGAGTTAGCAGTTATAACAGGGGGAACGCGTGGAATAGGATATTCTATCGCACAAAATTTTGCACAAAATGGTGCAAGGTGTGTTTTAATTGGACGTAATAAAGAAACAATTGAAAAAGCAAGAAATTATTTGGATAAAAATTTTGAAATAGATAATAATCATGTAGGATACGAATGTGATTTAAGAATTCCTGCGGAGATTGAAAAACTTGTAATAGTAGTATATCAATTTTTTAATCTTTAGAATTCATAGAATAATTTTGAAAGAGAATAAAGAATTAAGTATGTATATATGTATATATATTTTTTCAAGAATATTTCGAAGCTTCAACATGTTGACTATTTGATTAATGCTGCAGGTTAGTTGATTTTTTTCTCAACATTTATTTTAATAACTGTTAACATTTAATATATTTTTTCTAGGAGTATCATATGATTCACTTGTTGTTAAACTTAAAGAAAAAGAGGTTAACGATATTATTCAAACGAATCTTCTTGGTACAATTTATATGTGTAGTCACATATCTAAACAAATGATTAAAGCGAAAAGAGGTACTGAGAAAAAAAACTTACTTGGGCTATATATTATAATTTATTTATTTTAAGTTGACGTATATTTTATCAGGATGCATAATTAATATATCAAGTGTTGTTGGATTATATGGAAACAGTGGGCAATCCATTTATAGTGCTTCAAAAGCTGGAGTTATTGGTATTATTGTAAAAAATTATTATTTATTATTTTTTGCTTTTGTTGTAGACATTATTAAATATTTTTTTTTTTTTTAAGGATTTTCAAAATCATTGGCTAAAGAGATTTCACGAAAAAATATTCGTGTGAATGTTATTGCACCTGGATTTATCGAGACGGATATGATATCAAGTAAGTTATTGTTTTTATTTTTTATCGTTAAAAAGGGAATTTTAATTTGTTATATTTAAATATTTGTTAATCATTCTATTAAAGCAATGTCTGAAAGTGCCAAGGAATCCTATAAAAATAAAATATTGATGCAAAGATTCGGGAAACCAGAGGTAAAAACAAACTCTGATCAAATAGTTGGAGGGTATAATCCACTCTATGATTGGTATTCAGATTACATATATGTCTGCTAATATTAAATCCTTTTTAATTCTTCAATTAAATAAAAAAAACAGGAAGTAGCTGAAGCTGCATTGTATTTTGCGAAAGCTAAATATGTTACTGGACAGGTTGGTCTTAAAAACAATATGTTATTCTATGATCTTTATTAACAAAGTATTTTTGTTTTCATTTTAAGACTCTAATAATTGATGGAGGATTAGCTTTATCATAAAGAGGTTTACTTATTTTGAATGTGGAAAAAGTATATAATAAAATCAGAATGTGAACGGACATCTTTTTTTATAACGTACAGTTTATGGAATTTGTCTTACCATATTTGAACATAATCTATTTATTCAATTAAGTGAGATTGGATACGTTAACCTTAAATTAAATCAACCAAATTGAAATATCTTTGGACCAATTACCTAATAGCAATGTAAAAACATACATCATTGCTTTTTTTCATGAGATGCATTTATTCAGGGCCCAGAAATATAGAATAGGGTACACAGATGCCATACCATCATAGTGGAGCTAGCCGAAGTAAAGTTTTGATATGCGAGGTTTTTTCGCACATAGTTAGACCAGCAATATGTAAAAAATTAGTTTACGTTAATGTTAATGTTTGGTTTAGATTTTCAATATCAGGTGTCAATTGTACGTACTACCTGACCTTATTTCTGATTCATTTTCTAATACGAAACACGTGACTTTACGTGCATATCCGCGCATTTTTGGACTAGCCGATTTGACACAGGGCGCATATGGTGACAAATACATTATAAGAGGAGCAAATTTTGTCACGTGTTCGAAGTATAGTTTTGTGAAATTGCACACCTAGCTAAGAAGGGTATCCGATCAAAGTCATTATAAATTTTATAATTTTCTTGTCGGTCTTGTGTCAGTCGTTCAGATGATTTTCGAGATTTTCGTACCAAAACCGTTACGTAAAAATTAAAACTATACATTAAATAAATAAATACTGAGATATTCCACGATCAGTAAATCGGGATTTTTAATTTTGACAAAACTTTAAGCAATTTTAACTCAGACAAAGATTAATATACATATATATATGTATTTTTTAACAAATCCCACATTTTCAACCATTACTTTACTTTTATATCTTCGATTTTGAACTATTAAATGAAATGAAAAAAAAGAACGGTAGAATCACCTGAACGAATGTATATAATATTTTATTATATAATGATCATTGCAAATTTTTTTTAAAATTCATGCATTTTTTATTATTTATTTCGGAATCTTTTATTTACCCATATGGAAGAAAAAGGTAATCATTTTTTTTTTAATTTTTATAATTCGCAAATCTAATAATAAATAATCATAATAATCATGTATTTAATTATGATATGTAGTACAAATTTTATAAAAAATGTCGATTTATATGGATATCTGATAATAAGTTATAATTATGATAGTAAGATTTTAAATAGTCAATGATTGTTGTTATATATTTAAATGAATATCGGGAAAGTATTAATTCAGTACGAATCAGCAAAACCTTAAAGATTTTATTATGATAATAAAAAAGGGGGAAGGGAAGCGAGGGGTTAAAGAAAGGAAAAAAAGGGTTATAGTGCGTAGTTAAACTAGTTATAGTGAAGATATGACACTTTGTAAAAAAAAAAAGAGTATTTTTATAAACAAAAGATTGATCTGACGTGGGGCACAACATACTGTTACCCTGATATACGCGGGTACAGAAAATGTAGAACTACTTTATAAGATAGGAAATATCAAATAAAAATATAATTTACGTGACTTCATGACGGTAATCGATGTAATTCCACAAAAATAACTAAATCGTGGAACGTTGTTCAGATATTTATATATTTTATATTTTTATTTTTAAGTATTTATAAATAAAATTACATGTTGATCAGGACACCAAGGACGCCAGGGACACCACATATGAAAGAATTCATGCGATTGATCTGAAACTAAGGATTATCAACAAAGAAATTTTTTCAACCAATTTTTTTTTTCTATCGATTATCTTTTATCAAAAAGTCGGAAACTCGGAGTTAGTGGATAGTAATATAAATAATATCATTCAAGCGAACATCATTTCGCATTAATCAAAGATCACGTTTGGTTATTTCATACACAGCCACAACCATACTCAAAGACAGTATCGAACTTTAAATTTTTTATTCTGATATTCCTTTTTAATGATCTTTTTAACTTTAAAAAGTAATTTTTTCGCCCAACTCACCTAAAGTATCACGTGATATTACATATAAATGTATTTTAATTAAATCTTAAATGAACTAGTAGATTTTAAACAGAATTCTGGAAAGAAAAATTATTTGAATGATAATGATGTTAAAAAGAAAACCGATTACCGAAATTTCTTTGGTATGTACGAAATTAATTAAATAATTAATCTCATTTAACCACCCAATCATAAAAATATTTTAAGATCAACAATGTCGGAAGTCCGAATAGCATCATTTTCTTATTTATTATTATGTAATTAAAATAATAATAATAACAATAATAGTAATAAACATACCTGAAATATCCGAAAAAACAAAAATATATGTATATTTTATAATCAAAATCGATTTATAAGTTTTTTTCTTACCATATTTGAAAAATTTTTCACCGCCTAAAACTGACAATAATGTGGCAAAATTCATTTTTTTTTTTTTTAGAAACATGTAATATTACCCTGCATATTTTAACTAATTATATACATTATTTATATTTCCCTAACGTAAAATAAAATAATATATATATATATATATAGATCATTGTTATATATAAAGCAAGCAATTGAACCGGGTTTTAAAATCCTACTCTCACATTTTGAAAAAATCATCATCGTCATATATATATATATATACATATAACCTTTTTTTTTTAAAAAAAAAAAAAATTAAAATCAAATATGGTTCGTAATATATTAATGAACAATAAAATTGTTCGTTATATCGCGACATTTATTGTCGTATGTGATTTATTATACGTTAGTTATATTCAAATATCTAATTTTAATGATAAAAATTCAGAATCTTTAATAAATATTAAAGTTGGAATAGATATAAAAAATGATAATTATCCTATTATATCATCACAAGATGATGAAGAAGAAGGAATCAGTACAAACTTTTCAGAATATATATCAAAATTCAGGAAAAGGCCTAAAGATGGTTATATAATAGATTATGAAAAAATCGTATCTCATTGTGATATGAGTAAATTTTTAGCTGAACAATGTTTAGAATACCTTGATAAAAATGAATCAAATTATATTATACCCAATCCAGATTTAAATCAAAAAGATTCTTTAAAATGTTCACCCGATCAACCTCCAATGCTTTTTCACGTATTTTGGAAAGGGGATATTAGTGATAAAATTTCTTTAATGATAAAATCTTTCTTATTTACTCAACCTTTACAATGTTCCAAACTTTATATTTGGTTAGATGATACAACTATGACTTTAGAAGATAATCCTTATTCATATTCTTTACTTCAATTTTCTCCAAAATATATTGAATTTAAAAATTGGAATACTGAAGAACAACTTAATTATGATCCTATTTATAAAGGTTGGGAATATAATCTTAATAAGAAAAGAAGATCAGTTTCTTTTAGTGATATGGTACGTTTTGTCGTTTTACAAAGATATGGTGGAATTTATGTTGATGCTGATGTACTATTATTACGTGATTTAAGTCAATTTTATCATACAAATTTTGAATTCTCTTACCAATGGAGTTTTAAAGAAGATTATAATACAGCGGTATTACGTCTTCGTCCAAATAGTACAACCACAAGAATGATAATTGAAGGTGCTATGAATAATCGTATGAGATTTCATCCTTTTAGTATAAAAAATTATTTTACCAGCGTTGAAAATCCAACAAAAGATGATGTAAATCCTTACCTTTATATGCTTCCTGTTCCTTTATTTGATCCTTTATGGTTAAAGAAGGATAGAAGACAACGAAATTCTACTTTAACTCCAAATATTAATGTTTGGTATGATGTATTTAATCCCGAATTATCTTTAAATGAATTTGTAAATGTTGATCCCGAAAATGCTACTCCTCAATTACGAAAAGTTGATGGTTTCTTTCCCGGTGCTTTCACTTATCATTGGCATAATAATTGGCGTACAGAAATACTTCCAACTTCTTGGATGGGAATATTACGATCCGCTTACGATGAATTTTTAAGCGGTCAACAACCAAACATTTATAATGAATATCTTAGTTTAATAATGTAAAAAAAAAAAAATATATTTTTTTAGAATGTATAATAGAAACATATATAAATATATTTCTTTCTTTCTTTCTTTCTTTCTTTTTAATAATGTTTTTTATAACATCCGCATTTAATAATAATAGTTTTTAATCATTTCTTGTGTATTAATCGAAAAAAAAAATAAAAAATTAGAGTAAATAATTTTAGTGCTGCGCACTTATTGAATAATCATGTGACTTGCTTTAAAGTTTTAAAAAAAAAGTTTAACAAAAGTGAACAAGAAACAGCCGTAAATTAAAAAAAGCCTTTTGTACCCAAATAATGATAATTGAATAACGTATCAGATAAACTTTACAGTAATATACCCTGTTATAGAATTATTTTTACCAAAATATTTTTTTTTTTTTTTTTTTTTCTTGGCAGCTTGGCAGTTTTAAGTACAAGTTTCAAAATATACATAATACACTCGTACTTGAATTAGGGATTGGAATCGATTCCCATTATTAGAATCGATTCTAAAATCGATTAATCGCGATTAATCGTTTCGCAAATACCGATTTTTTTTTATACTATTTATAATAGGTGTGTTTAAACACATATCACGTGATTACAAAAAATTACAGTGATCGACGAACAAAGTTCCTTTTTTGGAAATTTGTACAACCTTGTGCGATGGAAACTTGAATTTTATTGGGAGATAAAATTTCCTTTTTAGGAAGTTTGTGTTTCGTCACGTGATTCGCGGGCGGAATTATGAATTTGGCCAAAATTAACTATTATGAACAAATAATAATTTACGGTCAAATTAACGAAACTGCGCCACAATAAGTAGATTCGATTTTTATTCGAGATTCGATTTAAAATCGATTCTTATCGATTTTCGATAGTTTCGATTTTAATCGAATCTTTTCCGATCCCTAACTTGAATAGCGCACAAGTTTGATAAAATTAATCAATTCAGTATCAATGAAGACGTTTTTGATCTTTGTAAAAAATTTTTCTTTTTCGGGGAAATAATTTTTCAGAATAATTCTAATTTCTACATTTTTTATTATATGTTATACAAATCTCAAAGAAGTCAAACGTCTTTTTTACGAATTAAGATCGACACGTCTTGCTACCTTCATGCGGGGCGGGCCGGAATTACTAACATTATCCGAAAAAAGAAATAATTCGCATTTTTCACGAGTTATCAGTTGTTCAAGGTTCTCGACCCCGAAATATATATAAAGGGGGTAAAAAAACGTGGTAGTTCTTTCCTTTTTAGATAATTATAGATAAATGCCAGCCAACTATTTTAGTAATTCAGAATTTTCTGAATCACCTGATCTCTATATATATATTTCGGGGTCCTGTCGAAATTTTCAATCTAGGCATATCCGTTATTATTTGCCGCAGATCGACAGTTGGACAAAAAATTTTTAAGTTCTAGGTGAACAAAGGAAATGTAACTCCGATAAAAAAAAACTTTTTTGTTACGCCAAATAAATTTCCTTTCCTATTAACTATTGTTTATCATGAGCTCAATAATAACTGATAATTTATCGTCAACATTTCATTCGCCAATATCATGGTCAATTTATACTGAATCACCTGAGTCATCACCAACAAATAATAAGTTTCCCTCATATTCACCAATTCAATATTCTTCGGAAGAAGAAATTGATGTAGATTATTCATGTCCAAAATGTAGAAATCCTCGCATAAATGATCGATGGTGTAAACATTGCGAAAGTAAACGTCTTAGCGAAGATTTTCAAAATTGGACAAGTAACAATGAAATATTAGATGAATTCATTCGAGATACACAAAGAAATGCTGCAAAAAAACAAGATTATTTAGTATGGATTGACTTTAATAAATTCGAAGATGTTACTTATTTGGCTAGAGGTGGATTTAGTGACGTTCATTATGCTGTTTGGGTAGAAGGTCCTGAACGAAAATTGGTTCATGATAAAGATGGTAAATGGAATGTGCAAGGTAACATTATAAATTCGGTTCATATCATTATGGAACATCTATGAAATAAATAATAATTAATTAAATTATTTAATTTTTTTAATTTTCCCCTTCCCTCTTTCCTTTCTAAAGCAAAAACACCAGTTGCTTTGAAATGTTTACATAATTCAGAAAATTTAACCATTGAATTCCTAAATGAGGTATAATAACATAAATCTCAAATTTTTTATTTTTACAATATATTTTTATAAAGCATTCATCCTAATTTTCATTTATTATATTTAGTTAAAAGCACATTATAAATGTAGAAATGGAAGTGTGCTTCGATGTTATGGCATAACATATAATAAAAATACGAAAAATTATATGTTGGTCATGAAATATGCAAATGGAGGGGATCTTCGCCATTATCTAAGTCATAATGATTCCATATTAACATGGGGACAAAAGTTATTAATGCTCAAAGAAATTGCTCTGGGTTTAGAAGAGATTCATTCAATGAAATTAATACATCGAGATCTTCATAGTGGAAATATACTTCAAAATATAACCAAATCTGATGGAATCATAAAAACTTTCGTGACTGACTTAGGATTATGTCGACCTGTAGATCAAACATTGAAAAATATATCCAAGAAACGTGACGTTTATGGTGTGATGCCATATATTGCACCGGAAATATTACGTAGGACTCACGATTACAGCGAAGCTTCTGATATTTACAGTTTTGGAATGATTATGTGGGAGATATTACATGGAAAACCTCCTTTCTATAATATTCCACATGATGTGAATTTAGCCATTAAAATTTGTGAGGGGCTTAGACCTAAAATAGGAAAGAAGAGAGTACCAAGATGGTATATTGGTTTGATGATTGAATGTTGGAACAAGGATCCTTTAAGAAGACCTGATATTATTGAAGTTAGAAAAATTATCGCGAACAACTATTTAAATGAAAAACATGGTATTACGAATTTACCATATAAAGTTAGGAAAGTGAAACGATTAAGTCAAATTACTTCACATCCTGAAGCTGTATTCACAAGTAGATTATTGAATTACTCAAATTTACCTCAACCACTTGATGCTCCAGACATTTCAGGTAAAGAATCTGAATGTTAAAAGTTTCATATTTTTTTTTGTTGTCAACAAAGAGGAGAATAACAATGAATCAAGTCATACTTATTCTGAATTAAAATCAAAATTTGCTGATTTTGAAATTGAATTAAGTCATGCTGTTCGAGTAGAAGGAAATTTTTACAAAACATTTTAATATCACTAACATTAAGTTCTTCACCATAGAATATTCTAGCTATTATTCTTCAAGTGATGAAGAACAAGATGAAGAGGAAAATAAAATTGAAGAAAATGAAGAAAATGAAGGTAATTTGATGTAAAATACCGTAATAAGTTAATCGATTGATTAATTGTTTTTATTTTAGAATCTAATTATGTTACAAGAGCATTTGATGAAACTCTTTCGTTTGGAGGTATTTATTTATATAATTTTTATTATGTTACGAGTATAAAAAAAAATTTCACATATATACTTATGTAGGCGTCCCAAAGGTTTCGTCCAAGAAACAAATATCTTCTGAACCGGTATTAATCAATAAATTTTTTCTTTGGTTATTATGAAGCGAATACTGATCAAATTCTAATTAAAAATTTTATTAGTCCGACGTGTAAAAGTCCGAAATAGTGTAATTAGTCCGAGTGCTATTCGATGTACAACAATAATTGGCTTATGTTTCAATTTCCTAGTTATTTGTAATTTAGATTATTTAGATTATATCATTATTTTTTAAAAAAATTGTATATTAGAATATATCCATTTTTTATCTAATTATTATCCCAAAAACTGAAAAAAATAAAAAAATGGGTATTAATTATACAGTAATTTTAAATTTCATAATGAAAAAAAAAATAGAATTTTTGCCTTTTAACAAAAAAAAAATTCCAATTTAAATTTTTATATTTGATAAAGGCGAAAGTGTTTGCATAATTACTGTTTTGAAACTTTGAATCGATTGCGTCTATAAATAGGTATTATATAGACTTTTTATTTTGTTAGTAATTTACGTTTTACTAAATTGTTATAATCTTTTCAAAAATCTGAACGATAAAATGCTGATAATTAACATATTTCAGACAAAAATATGTAGTCTGTAATGAATAATCGCCTCTCCTTTTGTATAATGTGGAATAATGGACTATAGAGCTGTAAAATTTTTTTAGATTGAATATTAATTTTACAAAATCGCCTCGTATTTTGATCATAATTAAAAAAATTTTTATTTTATAATCTTTTCGTAGAAAGCTAACGATGATAATCTATTCGGGAATCGGGATACGTAATAATATGCTTTTGATAATTTTACGTGCAATATTATATTTAACCAATATCATCTCCTGTATATTGAATTAACACGGACTCTATCATAGTTAAGTATACACAATTCCATAAATTAGAAAACCAAGCTGTGAACTGTGAACATTTACTTCTTGTAGGCGAAATATTTCGGCTTTTCAGCCATATGATAATATACAGTTAGTAGATATGGTTGTAATAAGGCTGATATCGAGAAATTTCGATAGGGCTCTGGAATTTTCGACAACTATATTTAATATTGGCCGAGATTTGGCTGAAACTTTCTTAAAAATTGCTGCATGTCTGGCCCAAATTATCCGAGGTCTAAAAAATTACGCCGGATGCACGGATCTACAAGTAGCTTTGCAATGCGGCCGAAATTGAAACCGCATGTATACTTCTGACTCTAAGGGTTCTCCGTCAGCTTCCGATCAGCTTTTGGCCGGTGATAATCAAATTCGATAATCGTATATCTCGATGATCGTCATATATTATCAAGAAAATTAATATACGGCAATATCAAATTTATTATCACGTTAAATAACCTGAATTTTATTTCTTTTTGGTAATAATAAAAATAGGATAATAGCCCGTTCGGAACCAGCCCAAGATTTATACAAAATCACTAACTTAAAATGGCTATTGGCGAAAGATTTACTTTTTGATCTTCAAGTTCTATATACAAAAATGTGAATGTGGTGTAACTCACACCATTATAAATATTTATTACATAAAGCTAATATTTCATTTCTTTCTTTCTCTTCCTGATTTTTACTATTTGTTTTTTATTAAAGAAATAGAAATATGCACGTAGAAATAACAAGTTACGGTATAAAAGTTACTGCAACTGATGGAATAGGTTCATCTCAACCAAAAAACCTTAAGCCTGTTAATGATGAAAAAGGAAATGTTTCTTATTATCAACGATTCACAAATAAAGATCAAAGAGCTGAGCACTGGCTACAAAGGTTAGGCAAAGCCCTTGCTGATTATTTAAGGAAATATGGCAAAATGAATATCTCAAAAGGTAAATACAACAAATACAACAATTACAGTCAAATTTTATATTGCCATTTTAGGATCCGCTGATCCGATTTAAAAAAACACTCGTTATATTAAAATTATACCAAAATTTATACGTTCTCCCACATAATTAGAACTAAAGTTTATTAAGATCAAAATTATATTTTTAAAAAACAGAAAATGAAAAGTTGGTCGATTTTCCTGAAGGTTACGTTCTTTACCAACACAATAAAGAATATAAAGACAATACTAAATCACGACATGATCGTTATCTCTATGGTATATATTAAAAATTTATCATAAATTTTTATATATTATTATTTAATCTGCTGATTACACTTTTTATTTAAAGGTGCTTATAAGTTCCGATCTCCAAAAGAGTTTGAGCCACATTTAATTTGGCTTGTTTCTGGCCAAGTAAATAATTGTAAATGTGTTTATTGCAATAATAGCTCTAGAGGAATTAATAATGGAAAAAGGAAAGAATCAACATTAGAAAAAACAATAAATGATAGATCAACAAAAAAGATCAAAAATGATTCAGAAGCGAAGAAAATAGAAGTTGAGAATGTTAATAAACCAAAATTTGCAAAGACATTATATAGAAGAGGAGAAATTGTTATGGTTAACTTAAATAAAACTGGAAAAGCTCACCATACTGAACTTATAAGAAATTCTTCAGATGAAAATGATATATCAATTTTTTATTGGCCTGGAGTAATTTTAGAAACTAGTAAAGTTCCAATAACAGATAATATGTCTGATGATACAGCTTCTGCGAATTCTGATGGTTGTGGTATTATTTATAAGGCTTATTATAAAATCCATTTGTTAGAATTATCTGAAGTTATTCAAGTTGATCGAAAAACATTGTTGCCATGGTTAGCTTGTAAAAAAGAAATACCGAAAAGTTTTATTAATAATAATAAATTAGGTAAGTATGATTTAAATTTATTTTTTTCCTTTTTTTTTAAAAAAAAAATTTGATATTTACTAATAGAATTATTCTTATAAAGAGCCAAATGTTAAGGCATATATTCAAGCTATTGATCGAGTAAATAAGATTTCTAATATATATACTCCAGTGCATTCATATAAACATAAGGAAGCTGATGATCATTTAAAAGAAATCAAAGATCCATTAGAAAGAAAGCGATTGCAAGATATGGAAAATTATCCTCATTATGAAGCAATTTTACTAGGAACTGAGATGATTTATGTGAATGATTATGTTCGTTTAGCTCCCATAAATGTTGCTTCAATGTCTGATGATGATGATAGTGAAAAAGAATCAGAATATTTGTTAAATAATAGAAAAGAACCTGAATATCTATTAATTAGTAGCATTTATAAACATGCTACAAAAGGAATTCAATTTACTGGAGATGGATTATTAAGAGGAAAGCTCTTAAATGAACATAGTTATAGAAGATCTTTATCAGATTATGAATGGACTACTGTCAATAAAGCAGATGCTGAATATACAATAGATCTTCAAGACATTGCCGGGAGGTTCTATTTACTATTTCCTAATCTTAAAGACAGAATAAATTGTAATATTCCTAAAAAATTAGATGAGCGATTTAAATTACTTGGAATAGAAGATTATTAATATAAATATAATAGTTATTAATAAGTTGATTTAATGATTGCTTAAAAAAAGAGTAGCAAAAAATAAATTTTTATATTCAAAAATAATTCTTTAAATTGTAAATGGATTTTTAAAGAATCAGAAATTTGTAGCAAATATTGAATCAATTCTCATCTTTAGTCTCATATTTTTAAAAAATTGATTTATAATTAAACTTAAAGAATTTAAAAACTGTATTTATAATAAGTTAATAATAGATAAGAAATGATGCTAAATGAATTGAATATAGATATTAGATAATATGTGAATATATACAATGATATTTATAGTTTTATGTAATATAAGATTACAAATTTTACAGAATATAATTTGTATAAATTTATAAATTTTTGCATAAATTAGGTTTTTATAAATTTTAGCTTATTAGATTTATTTTACTAAAACTTATATTTATGTTTATAGACTGCACAACAAAAAATTAAAATAATTTATAAATAATAAAAAATAATAGTATATAATAATTTGAATTTTAGTAAAATTAAATACAGTTAAACCTTTATATACTAATAAGGTTATTTTAGGAAAAAAGTATCAGTATATTAAATTATTCAGTATACAATTACTGTATATTATATTGTAAATCACTAGATTAATAAATAGTAAAATCTTAATATATTACATGTAATTCATAATATGAAGTAATTGCCATCCAATTAATAGGCCAAAATAAACAAATTTTAGCAAAATAAATCAAAAGAATTCAATTATTTAGGCAACTTTATAGTATTAGTCCAAATTAGTATAATTAAATATCAGTACAGTATATATATATTTTTTTTCAAAGTAATGCAATTTGTGAGTTTATTAATTATATATCAGAATACAGAAGCACCTATTATATAACTAATTTATTAAAACTCCAACCCAGTTGCCTATTTTAATTTAGTATATTATTATAAAAGAACTAAAAAAAAGTATTGGTATATATTACATTGTGAAATTATATATAATATTAATATAATGCGTGAGTCTTATAATCTACTAGATGAAGACATCAGGACTACCTTATAAAAAATATGTATACAGTTTTTATAGGACTCCGGACAATTATAATCAAGGTCATATCCCCTATGTTAAGAATTTTTAAAAATTTATTATTGCCATTTTGAATTTATTTTAAAAGATATAAATGTAAAATTTTAATAAAATAGTTGCCTTCTTACTATTTATAACTTTGTAATTTTAAAAGTAATATTTAATAATGTAGTTTTTTATTTTTTTGAATATTTCTATGTATACCGATTGTTAAAAATTTTATATTTTTTTGCCAAATTTTGCTTTGTTACACAACTTTATCTCTAATTTTAATCAGTAAATTTGCATAATTTTGGTATCAAAAGATTCTTTTCTTTAAAAGAACCATTTTTTTCTATATTATCTTATAATATTAACTTAATAAAATTATAAGATAAATAATGTATAAAGTTTAAAACATAGTCGGATGTGACCT